ATCCCGACACCACCATCTAAATCTTAACCTTTTATATATTACACTATATATGGCTCATTTCATCGCTAATAATTATTTTAAATTCAGCATATGTTTCTGTCCACTTAGACTCGTTTATTCATCTCTTCAATCAATCCATACTTTTAATTATTGTATCAAATACTATAAATTATCTCACATTGCCAATCTACTTTCTGTTTTTGATTGTAGATTCATTAGTAATATCTGTATATACTTATATGTTCAGATATTAACTTTGTTTTTCGAGTGTTAATCCTACTGACTATATTTATCGATTTTTGCATGCATTGAAATTTAATTTGTATATTTTCTGTTCTGTTTTAAATTGCATATATATCTCAAGTAAAGTACTTAGGGTGGCCTCTCCACAAGTTTTTTCATTTAAACTTATTTGGTTCCCTTATTGAAAATAAAATAAATAAAAAAAAATAAATACATCGACATTTCACTGGGAGGTGATGTCGAGTCCGTTTTGAACCACCTTAATACCATTATAAATTCAGAAAAAAACATAGGTTTAAAACTTAATTTTGAAAAATGCGAGTTGTATATGAACAAACCTATTACACTTAACATTAAAAATCCAATTAAAATCCTTGAAAAAAACGAGATCGATTTTCTAGGCTCAATAATTTTTCCTGGTGAAAGCCAAAACATATCCATAGTTAAAAAATTTGAAAATTTTAAACTTATCATCCAAAGGCTAAATATCATCAATAAACATGATGCAATGGTCCTTCTATTACAAGCTGCTTTTTTGCCTCGTCTTGTTTATTTTTTGAGAACATCCCCTCTGTTGGATGTTTCGATCCTCAATAGTTTTGACGATCACCTCCGTGACGCATTCCAGTCCATCTTCAACATAAAACTCGATCAAAAAAATTGGTTGCAGGGGACGCTGTCTATATGTGTTGGTGGCCTGGGTTTGGGTTCCGCGGCTGAGCTGGCACCTTCTGCCTTTTTGGCTTCTGCTGCTGCCACGGTGGCCCTTCAGGATCTGATGTTGTCGAGAGATGGGATTTATGTCGATAACTTCAGAATGCAAGTATACGACATGTGGCGCGCCACCAACGGAGATGTGGTTGCGCTCGAAAACCCCTCGCAAAAACACTGGATCGCCCCCTGTCTTAATAGATCAGTTGATCGATGGCTGCAACTGAATGGCTCTACTTTTGACAAGGCTAGAATTATGGCTGTCAAAAGTGAGTTGGACTCCTCCTGCTTGAGAGCGCTACCCATCACCTCCTGCGGCACTAAATTGGATGACTCCTATGTTCGCGTGAGCCTTGGTTTGAGACTCGGAGCCCAGATCGTCACCGAATACGAATGCTCATGTGGGGCAAGGGTTGATGAACTTGGATACCATAGCCTTTCTTGTCGTCTAGGTCCTGGAAGTCAAGCCAGACATACGGCT